TTCGGAAATGAAGAAGGGTCTAGGCCCGAAACGTCAGCCTTCCTGCTCCTCTGATGCTGCTTGGCCTGCTGTGTTCGTCCAGCTCTACACCTTGTTATCTCTTTAAATCTGACAGGTCCCTTATGGTGCAGGATTGACAGAGGGGGTGGTTGTAGTTGGAGGAGGTTAGCTGGAGAGAGTGAGGCTCAAATCCAGGGGCGATAGGGAGAAGGGGATGGCATCCTCTCGGGGAGCAGGTTTCGGGTCCAAGGGTGGGGTGAATTGTGTCAGGTCTGGTGACAGGGGAGAGGGTACCATTTGCCAGGAGCATGGCCGAGTGTCAGGTCTGGTAGCAGAAATGTAGGTGGGGCCAGAGAGGTTAGATCTGGCAGAAGGTGAGGGGGTCAAGGCCCATGGAGGGAAAGGTATGTCAATTCCTACCTTAGAGGGGACTATTAGATCCAGAGGCAGAGGAGACGGTGTCTGCTCCAAGGGGTAGAGGGATTGTGTCAGGTCCAGTGGTGAAATGTGTCAGGTCCCAGGAATGAGGTTGGTGTTGTGACAGGTCTGGGACATATGTACTTGAGGGTATGTATGGTATGTTTCAAGTTAGATAGTTACTCTGGCATTAGACTAGATATTTAATAGTCTAACTTTTCCCGAGTAACTATTTATTTAACTACAACTAAACCCTCAAATTTCCAATTTAAACGGATAATCTTGGAAGATCCCATGCCCAAGGAAATTGCCCATTGGAATCTTCACTTTCCAGAGCAATTCCCTTGGAGTTTCTACAACCGGATTCTGCAGGGTCCCCATGCTCAATTTCCATCTGCGCTGCAGAAACAATGAATGTTTGGAAAATCTGAGCCACTATTCCTTGTAAAATATTGTTTGATTTGCTTTCCAAAGATGGTAAGGGGTTCTATGCTCATAAGATGGATGGGAGGAAATTGTGTTTTTGCCATCTGGTTAGTCGAGTTTTCATTACTTGAAGATAGCAAAAATCTTTCTAAGGGTGGTTGTATATCAGAAAATTTCACATCTGTAAGCTTGTTTTGCGACTTTTTTGGGCCTGTTTCTGCGTTGAGAATATCAAGGGTGCATGAAGAAAAACATTACTACCATTGTGTCTTTGTGCCTTTTTAAAAATTGTGAAGTAAGGTGTTAATTTTAAATGAGAATTGTTGTATGGTAGATCCTGCCACAGCTAATTGTGGTGTAGCTCCAACTGGTAGATTTGTCACCAGTATCTTCTTTACTGGAAGGGATCTATTGGACTTGTTTGTTCTGGTGTGACAGAGAAAAACCACTTGGTAGTCTAATGAGAAAAGGATCTTGACTTAAACAAGATGTAGTTTGCAGCATAATAGCAACTAGCTACAAGTGAGGTCCAGTTGTGAATGGAGGTGGACAGTAAAGTAGAGCATTGGAGGAGGAGGCTTCACAAGTATCCCCATCCTGAATGATGGAGAAGCCCAGAACAGCAGTGCAAAAGTCAAGGTTGTAGCATTTTCAAGCACCTTCAGCCAGAAATGCCAAGTGTACAATTCATCTCAGTCTCCTGAGGTTCCTAACATCATAGTTGCCAGCTTTCAAACAATGGGTCACTCTACATGTTAGCAAAAAATGGCTTAAATTACTGGATGACAGTAAGAACTGCTGATGTTGGGAGTCAGAGATAACACAGTGTGGAGCTGGAGGAATACAGCAGGCCAGGCAGCATCAGGGGAGCAGGAAAGTTGACGTTTCGGGCTGGGACCCTTCTTCAGAAAATCTGGGAGAGAGAGGCTCTGAGCTGGGGTAAGGTTGATTTTAGTGCCAGAAGATGCCGAGAGCATGTTCTTGAGAATCCACAGCGAAAATCGTTTTTGGAGGCTCTGGATGTACAGTAGATAGAGGTGTCAAAGTTGGGACCAAATTGCGATGACCTGAATGTTGTTTGGAATCCATTGGGGATGATCCAGCTGCTTAGGCAGTAATGAGAAAGGAGATGTGGCTGTCGTACCGGGTTTGTTTAAGTATGTGGTTGAAGAGTTTCAGGGCAGAGGAGATTACCAGAGGGTTGCAGTGGGAGAGAGATCCACTGAAGTCTTTCTGGAGGGAGGAGGACAGCTTCTTCAAGATGAGCATCCTTCGAAGAGGCTTCGCAGTGGGGCTACAAATCGCTCGGAGACAGCAAGAACTGCAGATGCTGGAGTCAGAGATAACACAGTGTGGAGCTGGAGGAACACAGCAGGCCAGGCAGCATCAGAGGAGCAGGAAAGTTGCTCCAATAAGGTAGAATCCACCCCTTCAATTCCCCAATATCAATATCCTGGGGTTTACTTTTGGCCAGAAACTGAACTGGACCAATCATATAAACACTGTGGCTGTAAGAGCAGGTCAGCAGTATGGAATTCTACAGTGCCTACCTCACCTTCCTACTGCTCAATGTCTGTCCACCATCTGCAAGGTACAAGTCAGGAGTGTAATGAAATACTCTCCACTTGCCTGGGTGGGTATCACCAAAACAGCCAAGAAGCTTGTCAACATCCAGGAAAAGTAGAATATTTGATTGGCATCACAACCACAAGCATCCATTCCTTCCACCAACAACGTGTATTTGAGGCAGTGTGTATCATCTACAAGTTGAACTGCAACAACTCACAAAGCCTTCTTAAATAGTAACTTCCAAACCCTTGACTTAAACAATCTAGAAAGACAAGGGAAGTAGATATATGGGAACACCACCACCTGCAAGTTCTGCCCCAAGCCACTTAGCATCCTGACTTGGAATTAATTGCCATTCCCTCACTGTCACTGGGTCAAAATCCTGGAAATCCCTCTCTAACAGCATTGTCTATGTACTGACAGTATATTGCCTGCAGCTGCTCAAGAAGGCAGCTCACCACCATCTTTTCAAGATCAGTTAGGGATGGACAACAAATGCTGGCCTACATCCTGCAAATGAAAAAGGAAAAATGTTTTATGCGATTAAATAATTAGATATCGCAGTGACTACCAGTACTGTACCAGGGAGAATGTTTAAGGAGAAACTCCTAAATTTGCTAAATTGGAAAGATAGTCATTCCACTCTGTTTGTTGCATCTCCTGATGATTTAATATACAGTGGCATAGGCAGAGGTGCAAGTGCAGTTCACCTACTCAGTTGAAGCTGACGTGTGGTACAGAAAGCAATTAAAGAAATAAATACATTTTGAAAATTTATTATGAACGGGCTTGGTGTCTGTCACATTAACTTTTGTTCAAGCATCAGTGAAAAATGTAAGTGGTGTTTAGTGACTGACAATCAACTTATGTCATCTCATGGATTAATAGTATATTTGAGCTTTCTGTCACATGTTGGATTTCGTCTTGTCTATATTAACTTATGATATTACACTTTTATGATATTGCACGTTTATAATATTTCACTGTTCTTTTACATTGACTGTTTGTAATGTATGCTATTGACATCCTGCTAACAGTTCATAAGAGGAAAGCTTGTAATATTGTCTATTTTGAAAATATTTGTTCAGCTACACAACAGTGGACCAAGTGCAATCAGGTCTGGAGTCATGGAAGTGGGCTGGCCTAGTCACTACCGAGATGAATATCTACTATACATTTTGCAGATAAAGACAAATGGGCCTTTACACTGCTACACAAATGCTACAATTAATCCACTACAGTTAGAGGTAGGTATCACTTTACTCTTCTATAAACGACTATTGAAAAATAATTCACTCAGGTCTGTTGAAAAAAAAATGAGTTGAAATCAAGTGCTCTCTGTCTTCTCAAGTGAATAGGTCAATTGAATAAGAAAAGATATATTGAAAACATGGCAACTGTAACAAATTCAGCAGATTGATAAGCTTTTTATAAATCAATAAGCATATGCTTGTGTCAAGAGTTTAAGTAGAATTGATTTTCCATCTGTAACAGTGGGAGAACACAGTGTGCAGGCCATAGTGAACTCAAATCTTAGATTGTCTGGCCAATTGTAAACACAATTCAGCAGGTTTATACTTAAGCAACTTCAACAGGATATAAATCACATTAAACTGATTAGACACTGTTCAGAATACATTATGCATACTTATCATATAACATGCTGGAATGTAGTAATAATATAGTGGCTCAGTGGTGAAAATGTACTTCAAACAGGGTCATGATAAAAGACCAACGGCATCTGGTGGCTTTCTGCCCCACTTCATTTATGTCGTTGTCATTGCTGTGATTAATTTATCTTTTAGTTTTCAAAGTGACAACATACAAATTTACTAATTGCCTGATTTTCCTGTCTAATTATGTAGCCTGACTGATTAATAAAGATAGTGACTGTGTGCATTCCAATTAGACTGTTGGTGTTCCCCTGAGTTAAAACATAATTTATTTTTGACCTTAATACGTAAACGATGCTAGAAAATAGGAATGATGTTCAGATATTCACCTGCTTAATTGCAGAGACTGTATTTCTTAACATGACGTGAGGTGGAATTTTCTGTTTAGAAATCAGGACCACAGCCATCCGACATATACAAAATCTGACATGATGATATTTGGTCACCAACCTGATGTCTAACTGGTCCCCAGTAATTCAATAATAAGACCAATTCAGCATGTTAACAAACTAATACTCTGGATTAAGATTGTGCTCTGCCAAACGCAGCGAATACACTGGAAACAAGTTCAGAGCATTATATTGTCAAGACATGTTGCTAAAGCAGACGTGAAGGCTGCAGCTGGAACAATGGCTGCTGGAAGAAATTGCTGCAGAAGCCGGGAAACTTTTCTGATGGTGCTCATTCTGTTTTTTCATTGGATTTCAACCTGCTTGGACCCCTTTCTCAGGAATGGGGGCAAAAAGGAAGTGCTCAAATTAACACGTACAGCAGATGTTTTGTACATGTCGGTGTCCTGGGGGATTTGTCCACTCTGTTGTGGAGAGCCTCCCCCAGTGGGGATGGAAGAGTAAACAGAGAAGGGGAGTTGGCCAAGGGCAGGTGTGCCATGAGGTCTGATACAATGGACTTTCTGCCCATCAGAAACATGCTGCAAAGGACAGACAGCAGATTCAGGCAAGCAGAAGTAGGCAGAGGCAAGGCACCAGCCTGCCTACTGTGTCTACAGGATGAGGATGTTCTATCTGCAAATGTCAGAACAACAGTGCCTCCAAAGACTCATCCTTCAAAGGACAGTGATGTGCCTTTGTAACATGCTTTCTCAGAACACAATCTCCATTTATGTGGGAGGCTGCCCTATGCCTGTGGTATTAAAAGTAACTGTGGCATTGAATGTCTTTGAATCTGTGACATTCCAGGCATCACATGGAGACTTACTGGAATTACGCAGCCTGCTGCCCATCATTGCCTAGCTGCCATGCTCAGATATGCCCATCTCTTTCACATGGGATAGTCCAAAGATGTGCAGGCTAGGTGGATTGGCCATGCTAAATTGCCCGTAGTGTTCAGGGAGGTGTAGATTAGGTGTGTTATAGGGGGATGGGTCTGGGTGGGATGCTCTGAGGTTCAGTGTGGACTTGTTGGGCCGAAGGGCCTGTTTCCACACTGTAGGGATTCTTTGATAATGGCAGTCAAATAGAAAAGAGCCAGAGGCTTTATAGCTATGGATGAATTTCCAAAGGTCCAAGGGGTCATTTATTGTACCCAGGTTGCAATGTAAACTCCTCCTGGACAACCAGAGGCATTTGGAAAGAGGGACAGAGATCACTCCATCAATATCCAGGTTGTGTGTGATTCAAAACTAAGAAGAATCCAGGTGTGTGGACATTATCCGAGGAGGAATGACAATGGATACACAGTTAGACACTGCCAGGTACCAAGACTGTTCACCAGCCAGGAACCAATGGATGGCAGGCTTCAGGCTGTGGCTAATGACCCCACAAGGGATCCACTCACTAAGCCTGAGGAGGTATAATGACAGCTACACATCATTGAGCAGACTAGCCGTCTCCTCAGAATGTGCTTTAGATGTTCGGACAGATCAGGTGGCACTCTGCAATATGAACCTGCTGGTGTCTCACTCCTGGACACTATCTGCTGTACCTTCTACAACCTGGCCCTAGCACAGGAGGATGGATAAAGACAGCCCCATCCTCTTGTATCTGCTCTGATGCTGAGGAGGGTGAGCCATGATAGACAGTTGCACAGACTGGTCTGCACAACACTCTGGGTAACACTGGGAGATGATGGCCAGTGCTTGAATCTTAGGCTCTTTAGCTTTGAAACAAACCTTCCTGCTAAATTCTACAAACTTGAATCAAATATTTTTAAATGTCCCTTTCTCCCTGGTAAGGGTCTTTGAATATCAGAACCAGTTACTGCAGATGCTGGAATCTTTACTGAAAACAAAAAATGCTGGAAATCACAGCAGGTCAGGTAGCATCTGTGGAGAGAGGGCAGGCTAATGTCTCAAATCTGGGTGACTCTTCATCAAAGCTGACGTGAGGTGTGGAGGGGGCAGCATTTATGCATTAGTGGGGCGTTTGGATGGGGGAGGTGTGGAGTGTGGGGGGAGAAAGGGTATTGATGTGCAGATTACGTGATCAGAATGTGGGAATGGCAGAACAATGGTGTGTCTAACTTCCAGATTAGAAAGAACAGAATGGTCCTTTAACTCATCTCACTTCTGCCAAGTCAGAGGAGTGACTATGGGCACCTGCATTGGTCCCAGTTATGCCTGCCTCTTTATGGGGTATGTGGAACAATCCTTGTTCCGGTGCTACACTGGCCCCCTCCACAACTCCTTTCTCAGTACATCAACAACTGTTTCAGTGCTGCTTCATGGTCCCGCTAGGACCTTGGAAAAATTTGTTAATTTTGCCTCCGATTTCCACCTCTCTTTAACTTCCTCATGGTCCATCTCCAACACTTCCCCTCCTTTCCTTGACGTCTCTGTCTCCATTTCAGGGAATAAACTGTCCACTGCCATCCACTACAAAGCCACTGACTCCCATAGCTACCTTCAGTACAGTTTGTCACACCCCATGTCCTACAAGGACTCAATCCATTCTCCCAGTTCCTTATCCTACATCGCATTTGGTCGGATGATGCCACCTTCTAAAACAGCACTGCTGGCGTGGCTTCCTTCTTCCATGGTCGTGGTTTCCCACCCACTGTGGTTGACAAGGCCCTCAACCTATCACCCGTGCTTCCACCCTTGCCCCCTCCCATCACTCACAACAGCATAGAACATAGAACACAGAACATAGAACAGTACAGCACAGTACAGGCCCTTCAGCCCACGATGTTGTGCCAAACTTTTACCCTAATCCTAAGGTCTATCTAACCTCCACCCCTACCTTGTACTATCATCCATATGCCTATCTAATAGCCACTTAAATGCCCCTAATGAGGCCGACTCCACTGCCCTCTCCGGCAATGCATTCCACGCCCCTACCACTCTCTGAGTAAAGAACCTACCTCTGACATCTCCCCTGTATCTACCTCCACACAAATTAAAACTATGCCCCCTCGTAATAGCTACCTCCACCCTAGGAAAAAGTCTCCTGCTGTCCACTCTATCTATACCTCTGATCATCTTGTACACCTCTATCAAGTCACCTCTCATCCTTCGTCGTTCTAAAAAGAAAAGCCCTAGCTCTCCCAACCTTTCCTCGCAAGACCTTCCCTCGATTCCAGGCAACATCCTGGTAAATCTCCTCCGCACCTTTCCCAATGCTTCCACATCTTTCCTATAATGAGGCGACCAGAACTGGACACAATACTCCAGATGTGGCCGAACCAGGCTTTTGTATAGTTGGAGCATAACTTCACGGCTCTTGAACTCAATCCCTCTATTAATGAAAGCTAACACACCATACGCCTTCTTAACAACTCTATCCACCTGGGTGGCAGCTTTCAGGCAACTGTGGACATGAACCCCAAGATCCCTCTGCTCCTCCAAACTGCCAAGAATCTTTCCATTAACCCTGTATTCTGCTTTCAAATTTGTCATTCTAAAATGAATCACCTCACACTTTTGTGATCAGGTTCTCCTTGTCGTCACTTTTCATCCCAGTAGCCTCCGTATTCAAAGAATCATTCTCCGCCATTTCAGACAACTCCAGCAGAACACCACCACCAAACACATCTTCCCCTCACTTCCCTGTCTGCATTTTGCAGGGATTGTTCCCTCCGGGACACCCTAGTCCATTCTACAACCACCAACACCACCCCCTTCCCACAGCATCTTCCCATTTAACCGCAGGAGGCATAACACCTGCCTCTTCACCTCCTCCCTGCACCATTCAAGGGCCTAAACAGTCTTTCCAGCTAAAGCAGCATTTCACCTGTACCTCCTCCAATCTTGTGTATTGTATTTGCTGCACTCAATGTGCCCTACTCTACATTGGAGAAGCCAAACGCAGACTGGGTGACCACTTTGGGGAACACCTCCGGTCTGTGCACGAGCAGGACCCCGAACTTACCATTGTGGGTCATTTTAACACAGCATCCGGCTCGCATGCCCACATGTCTGTCCTCGGCCTGCTGCAGTGTTCCAGCGAATCACAGCGCAAACTGGAGGAACAACATCTCATCTTCAGGCAAGGCACTTTACAACCTTATAAACTTAATATTGAATTCAAAACCTTCAAATTGTGAACTCACTCCCATTCCTTACCTTTCTTTTAGCTTTAGATACTGTCTTCTGTCACCATGTCCTCTGTCCCCTCCCTCCATTCCAGTGGGACTATCTGTCCTTTCCAGACTGGCAGTTAGATACGCCATTGTTCTGCTATTCTCACATTCCAATCACTTAATCAGCATTATCAACATCCTCTCTCCCCCAGCACTCCACCGTCCCCCCTCCCCCTTCCCCACTCCCCACTATTGTATAAATTCTGCCCCCTCCACACACCTCATCTCAGCTCTGATGGAGAGTCATTTGGACTTGAAACCTGAGCTTGCTGTCTCTCCACAGATGCTGCCTGACCTGCTGTGATTTCCAGCATGTTTTGTTTTCAGTAAAGGGCCTTTGAATATTGTGCTAACAGTGACATTTATAAACAAGCACTCACCTGATGCTGCTTCAATAAGAGGAGGGAATTCAAAGTTAGTTTTCTGTCTTCTAACTTCAGCACAGATTCAACTGCAGCTGCCACAGTTGTGTGCCAGGGCTCTTTAAGTGGGTGACTGTGACTAAATTCTCTGCTACCTCTTTTGCCGTACATCCGAACTTTGATGTCGGATTGGGTGTATCGGTCAGTATTGCTCGCTGCTGTTCACTGGCCTCTTGCTGGATGAGCATTACCTGACTGCAAGATGCTTTATCCAGCGTCTTCATTCAGAGGGTCACTTGACAAGGCATTTAACAAGCATAATGAGCATCAATTGGGAACTCACCTCTTCTTAGTGAGTTAAGCTATGCTGCTTGAGAAAAGGGTACAAGATACTCAATGTCAGCTTGGGCTCCCCAAACACCTTGCCCAATTCTGCCACTCATCTGGTAAGATTCCTCCAGGGAATAACATTTTGAGTCTGATATGACTCTTCTTTTGCTTATATTTATGGAATATGGTTCTGTTTGTTTGCAATACATACAATGTGATGTTTTGTGAAACATTCTGTTTTTTGAATATAAAGATTATACATGCAGATAATAATATCAAGGAACTTGTAAAGGTAAATTCATAATCAGTTAAGGGGCGAATCATACTGTCAGAACGTACTACAAATAAAATTAATCACAGAACAGCCCAAACAACTGTGAATTACAAAATGCTAGATCCTAATCCTTGATATGGCACTGAAATCTTTCAATCTTTTTGTTAAAGTGCAAGGTTGAGCATGTTAGGTGGCAATTAAAACACAGTCCCCATTGCAGAGAAAACTCTTGCCAATCAGCTCATTAAGAACTCATGAGTGAGTGTGGGTGAGTCTCTCCATGAATCGACATTGTCTACCAGCCTTTCCAGAATCTGCCGGCCAATCAAAACTAATGGCTTTTGGGTCCAAAAGTCCACTGGTCCAGGCTAATTCCTCAGGGGATCCAACAACTGCAGATAGACCGTTGAGAAGGAGTCATGGGACGAGAAGTGGGAGGCAAGGCAAAGATCAGTTGATGGGTCTTAATTATTTACTTCTGTTCCTATCAACTGAGAAGCGTTATCTCACGCAACTGAGGTCTGTTTTTATTTAAACAATGTTTTTAACATATTTTTCTAATTAACCTGTTCAAGAGATGTTATTGCACACCTCTGGAATAGGTGGGACTTGAACCTGGGTCTCTTGGGCCAGGGATAGAGACATTACCACTACGCCACAAGAGGGTCCTAAAAAAAAAGGAACACTTCACAAATTTGCATGTGGGGGCGGCACGGTGGCACAGCGGTTAGCACTGCTGCCTCACAGCACCAGGGACCAGGGTTCGATTCCAGCCTCGGGCAACTGTCTGTGTGGATTTTGCACATTCTCCCCATGTCTGCGTGGGTTTCCTCCCACAGTCCAAAGATGTGCAGGCTAGGTGGATTGCCCGTAGGTTCAGGGAGGTGTAGATTAGGTCGGTTGTAGGGGGATAGGTCTGGGTGGGATGCTCTGAGGTTCGGTGTGGACTTGTTGGGCCCAAGGGCCTGTTTCCACGCTGTAGGGATTCTGTGAATCCTTGCACAGGGGCCATGCCAATCTTCTGTGTATCTTTCCAATTTTAGTATGTGTACTGTCGAGTAATCAGTTGGAGAAGAGAACAGAGTGCAATGTATCTAAATTTGCTGACAGTACAAGAATGTGTGGGAGGGCATGTTGTTTTGAGGACATTAGGAATCTGCAATGGAGGAAGGATAAGCTGAGTGCGTGGGCAAAAGCCTGGCAGTTGGAGTTTAATGTAGGAAAATGTCAGGTCATGCACATTGGTCAGAAAAATTAAAAGTCAGACTATTATTTAAAAGGAGGGAGAGATCATGTCAGTGTGGTCAATGAATTTCTTCTAGCACAGCATGCTAGACTTCTGAGCTTGACTCCTGATATTGATCTGCCTTTTCAGCATGTGTCTGGGGGCCTTCCTGACCTCCTGTGGATACAAGGCATCTCTTCTATTTCCGAACTCCTCCAGCAAGACCTCTGATGCAGCATCTTGAAACTATGGGGCTCATTCTCTCCTGTGTTGTGCTATTATTCAATGTTTCCCAGGACAGATTTACTTTCTGCATATCTGCCAATACTTGCTGCACCCACAATACAGATCTTCTGTAAGAGAGCTCGGTCTATCTTTGAGCAAGTATATGTTTTTTAATCAATCTGCTTCAATCTGTAATGACACATCTCTAGCACAGGTCAGACTTGAATCCAGCCGTTTGGCCCAGAGGGAGAGATACTACCACTGTGCCACAAGAGCTAACATTAAGTGGTGCTAGGATTTTAATATTTTGGGGGAAAAAAGTGTGGATGCTGGAAATTATTAACAAAAAACAGAAATTGCTGCAACAATTAGGCAGGTCCGGCAGCATCTGTGGAGAGCAAGCAGAGTTAACATTTCGGGTTCAGTGACCCTTCTTCAGAACTGATAGCAGCTAGGAAAAGGTTGGTGTATATGCTAGAGAAGGAGTTGGGAGGGGCAGGAATAAACAGTGGGTGGAGATTGAGCCCAGAGAGAGACAGAGAAATAGTTGGGCAGACAAAGGAATGGGTAAAGGTCAGCCTGGGAGAGTGAATGGCTACTAATGGGGATTATTATTGACTGACAATGGCTTGTTTGTGATAGCAGCCCATATGATAAGGCCTGGTGTGTGGGAGTTGGGGTAAGGCCATGGGAGAAGGTGCTCGGGCCCTAAAATATTGAACTCAATATTGAGTTTGGAAGGCTCCAATCTTTAATCAAGCTTAACGATTGTAAGTCCTGAACACCTTCTCCCATGTCCTTATCCCAAGCCCCAAACACCAGGCCTGTTATCACATGGGCTGCTACCACACACAACCTATTATCAGCCACTAATGATCCCCATTAGCAGCCATTAATTCATGTTCTGTAACTTTCCACTATACTTAGAAGCTGAAAAGTTACACCAGGCTGCCAGGAAACACAAACAGTGCTCAAAAATTTTGGATAAATAACTTTACACTTTAAGTTTCGTCCTACGTTAGTCTCAAAGAAGGACTTTGAGATTTTGCCATAGAGCAACTGGAGAGAACAGAGAATGTGTCCACTTGAAGCACTCCTGTAAACCTGCTTTGGAAATTGATTCTACAAAAATGGATGAGATGTTGCTTTTAAATAGAATAACAGTGCAGAAAATTCAAAGCAGATCAATCTACATCTGGAACAGTAAAACGGTTTCATGTATATGGTGGGTGTTCATTGGAGATCAGTCTGTTGTTGATAAGTTTACGAGTGGGTCGTGGGCAGAGATCGGCACAGGAGAGGCAGTCCTGGAACTTACCTTGGAGCAGTAGATCTGATAGGGAGTGGACTGGGGCTTGGAGTGGAGTAGGGATGGCTGTTGCACTGGGGTCTGGTGGGGGTGGTCAGACCATGTGCGGAGGCCATGCACTGAGCTGCTACAATGTAATGTCTATTTGAAATTTTTTTACCCGACTGTAATGTCAATCCTTTAACGAGCTCTTATTTCTAACTTAAATTTTTAAACTCTGTAAAATAATGTAACTATTTTTTATTCTTCTTTTGTATCCAAGCTTTGAACCTAGGTACTGGTACCTAAGATGGTGCCATAAGACGTAGACATTGTAAAAGCTTTTCACGGTGTTTCTACAATGGAGTGCACGTGACAATAAAGGATATTCTGATTCTGATATAAGGCTGAACTTAACGCATTCCTTTATCTGCCCAACTGTTTTTATCCTCACTTATCTTTTACTCCTTCATCCCCCCACAACCTATCCCTTCTCTACCATATATCTCGAGCATCCACCTTTTCCTAGCGACAATCCGTTTTGAGAAAGGATCACTGGATCCAAAAAGTTAACTCTGCTTTCTCTCTGCACAGATGCTACCAGACCTGCTGAGTTTTTTCCAGCAATTTCCAATTTTGTTTCTTAATGTTTTGTATCTCCTGATGTATGTTGCCAACAAATGTCACTGCAGGCAGCAATCAATCATTCTAATGAGCACGCTACACAAGGTTGAGAAGCTGCCTGCAGTATATTGACCTTCATTATCCATTGCAAGCCTTTCCCATCTTTTTAGTGCTGTCCAATTTAGCCCCTGTGCATTCTGTTTTCTCTCTACAGATGCTGCCTCACCTGCTGAGCACTTCCAGTATTTCTTTCAATTTTTACAGTCCATATTTATCTTTTTTTCATTGAGTTTTGCACGTACTTGGTTTGTTTTTGACTTGTTGGTCCAAGACCTCAATTAAAAGAAAGTGTAAACAATGTAACCTCTCCAGAACTTCAGTCATCACTGAAGAATCTGAAACATTTGCAATCAATTAAAATTATTTCAGCAACATCATCAGTAAATACAAGCTGCTTTGGGGCACTTAGTCATTACATAGGAGAGCACATTTAGCCAGAAAATGTTTAACTGATTGAATACTGCAAGACCATAGTTTCAAAGATTAACTGCAAATTTCTGGCACAGAATGTTATAAATGAGATTAGAGAATTGTCATGGGTATTTAAATAGGACCTCTGATTGAATGATGAGTGATCTTGAATCAGCTAAACCCTACAACCTCGAAAAGGCAATGTTGAACTGAATAAATGAGCTTCAGATATGCCTCTCTATCAAAGAAAAATGTTAACTGTCTAACAATCACCAGAGACCCATAGGAGCACCAATCTTATCAGGCTAGGCTTCCTGATCCTGTAATGGGAAGAGCTATCTAAAATTGGAGCCAGTGGAAGCTTACAATAAAACTGGGAAAATTCTTACGTAGTGAAGAATAAATTTAGTGTGGTATTTTCCTTTCCTTAGGACAGTAAGCCTGAAACTATGCTGTGTGATTAGGATCAGAGTACACATTTACTGATAACCCATCACATTGGGCACAAAATTTATAGAAGCAGCATTGAGAAAATGCCATCTGTACCCTGGTGCAAAACGTTCTCCCTCTTCACCTGGATCTTTAGTCAAGTGTGCAACTCATCAGTTGTGATTGAGGTTAATTGAAATCACAGGATTCAGGGTGTAGCAAGTAAGCCTACCCAATTTAAACAAATAAGGAAATTTAAGCAATATTGCTTAACAATCTTAAGAGCTAGAAACAATAGAAAGAATTTCTCATTTTGACCATTTCCTGAAACTCAAAGCTATTCCCCATGTTAACAGGGATCAACTGGTTGTTTATGGTCTTGATAGCCTCAGGAGTTGAAGTGGAATACAGATGGTGAATATCTTTTGAATGATAGGGAAAGCAAGCCAGAAGGAAAACCAATAAAACCGTACACTTTTCCGACTTATCTTGTAAAACTCAAAATGAAGCTCTAGTACATGTCTTTCCAAGTATTACAGTTTTTTTTTATAAATTACATTTTTCCTTTGGGAGAGGAACATGAACACCTTTACCCTGAATCTATTTGGTAAAATACATACGGATATCCATCTGCCTTGCCTAACAAGACAGCCCTTAGCAGTAAGGGCAAGACTGATCCATATCCATGTGTGGAGATTTCTTTTCCAAATTGTTGAACATACGTAGAAATTTTGCTAGTATCACAGACAATCCTACAAGTTGAGGAAAGGAAAATTCTACAATGCAGTGTTTCCAGTCAGAAACTGAGGTAGGCAAATGGAGCTTGAAAAAGTGGTGTTTTTCACTTTCTGATTCCTTTGCACACAATATTTTTTGATGTGACTGTAAAGAACATTTCATAGGCATTTAGTAGCTATAGCCTTCTTCAGCCATTAGGCTGGTGAGCAAGTCACAAAGATGAGATTATATCAAGGCGGGGCTGTTTGACGTCTCTACAAACTCTTTCTAAGCACACTTGAATTGGTGGATGTGATCAAGTGAATTGTAGTGTACAATAGACAACAGGAGTTTCAATAAGCAATAACAATAAATTTTAATGCGTAGCCATAAGGGATCTCAGTAATGACTTCAATGACCCACTTTGTATGAAAAAAAAGGTGAAAGACCTGTGGATGCTGGGCATCTGAAACAAAAACAGAACTCGCTGGAAAAGCTCAGCAAAAGAGAAATCAGAGTTAATGTTTCAGGTCCGATGACCCTTCTTCATATGGTCACTGAAGAAGTGTCACTGGACCTTAAACATTAACTCTGATTTCTCTCAACAGATGCTGGTAGACCTGCTGAAATTTTCTAGCAATTTCTGTTTTTGTTCCACTTTAATGAGGTTTTTATTTTAAATGGACACATTGTAGAGAATGGAGCTGGAAGCCAAAATCTTGCTGAAATTAATATATTTTCAGACAGGTCTAAACTGTTGAGACCACATTAAAATGTTCTTACCATTATCAATGATAAAGGCTTGACTTAGAACCAAATGAGGCACTGATTGTTGTTGTGAGAATCATGGGTAAATTGAAAGTGACCCTAACAGAAGCATATATCAATGGACCAGAATTTGCTACAGCACATCATTTTATGGTATCTGATCTTCGATGTGTCTCTGCAAGCCTCTGCTTAAGGCAGCTTTGCTAACAAAAATTTGCTGGAAGAGGAAACTAATAAATGTGCACCAAGGGAAACAGGGCAATTGGAAACCGAGAACAAAGTGAGCAACAGGTTTTCATGTGAACCAAAGAGACTTAAGGATTGGAAAGTAACCAAGTTGTATGACTGAGAAGGAGAGTGAATTAAAGCGGGTTCGTTCAGTGTCAAATCAGGAACAAAAAGAGAAATAAAAGATGCTTTAAAATGAAATGCCAGAAAGAAAAAATTAAAAGAAGGCTATGTTAAATTTGACATTTTTGATTTTCTGTGCCAGTCCCATCAATTAGCAGTTACTAATATTTGCCATGTTATTCGAAGGTTATTTGTGCTTGCAATGATGAGGCTTAAACTTTCTGTGGCAAGCTTAACTAGGAAGTCATAAGGATATAGAGCAAGTTCCTAAGGAAAAAAAGTAAATGGGGGTGCTGAGGAGATGTAATTTTCACAAAGTAAATGGTAACGAAGCACAACCAGGTTAGCAACGTCTAGCTATTTGCATTAATCTACACATCCAACAATCTATGTACCATTTACTCATAAATAATAGCAAACACTAACTTTGTCTGTAAATTCTGTGTTATTATGAAAATATGTGGAAACATTTTTTTCAAGAGAAATGTAGAGGGTTATTTAGTGTAATACACTAACTTATTAAAGAGAGTGAAGGATAGCACTAAGGTGGGCTCTAAGCTGCTGTGCATTCATGCTGCTAGACACAATCAACTGGTGTGACAGTTTCAATAGACTGATTCAATTTACAGGAACAATGTGCCGTTAAAGCTAAAAACAGAGCACATGACGTAGGTCAAATTTCATGATTTCATGGTCTCAATGTCCAACAGTCAGGCTCGTCTCATGGTGTATAATTTTTCTGGTTGTAGATTGTTGACCGGTCAAGTCTTGGAGAGCATATCAGCTTGCGGAACCCCACCACGACCACACATCATATCGCAAGACGAGAAGTGAGGTTACCACAGCCCCTAAAATATGATTATGCAATAATACTGGTAAGGAAAGGGCTGTGCTGATGGGGAAAATTCTTTTCTTTCTTAATCATTTAAGAAAATGTGTTTCTATTATAACTGCTGTGCCCTCCGAAAGACATGGAATAAATCAGTATCAGGGTTACAATAACCTCCCTGTCTAACAGAGGTGCTTTTGATTTGTTTGTGTATAGCTCTGTGTTCAAAAGATTACAGCCAGTTTTTACTATGACAAAATTGTAGTGCACCTTCAGAGTGACGCAATCTTTGGCCGTCTCAGTTCCTCCTTTGTCCCTGCTAATTTTCTTGTTTCTGGAATATTAGAGTACTTATCATGGCCCCTGACATTCCGCACTGTCCACAATCTTCTCCCCCATCACCACTCCAGAATCTGCCAGGGCTTCAAATGGAAATGCATAATAGATCCAGTGGGGATAACTGTAGCAAGTTGCAACAGTCTTGTCAGTATTCAGTACAGATCCACTATATACTCTGAAACAATTTTCAGAAGTATGAAAATCAGTCAGACATCGTTACTGGTATCTGATCAATCCAATACATCCTGGTGCTAGAACAAGAAGCCCTTCCCCTCAGTTGTTCTATTGACACTGTTTTGTTTAACTTAACAATAAATGACTCCTATAATATTCAACTTAGGACAAATAATCTTTAGAACCCAGCACAGCGATAGTATGCAAAGTAAAATAAATAAACTGTAGTGGAATGCTAACATCTGACAAAACACTGTTAAATCCATCTAACTTTTAACCAAATATTTAATTCACTTGATGAACTGTTAACTTCCTGAAACTCATGAAGCTTATGTTTGACTTATATTTATGCTTCCCTTTTTCTTTTAAATGCGTATTGCCTTTCCTACAGTTGAATGTCTGACTTTTGCGCAATCCCTTCATCAAGCATCAGAGGTTTTTCACACCAAATTATGAAGATATCCAGGTTTCTGTTTGCCCAATGTGCAGAGCACAGTCTTTCTCAGTAGGGAAACACCCCACTTCAAAATGTGCAAAAAGCTTTATCAGGGAACAGCTGAATCAAGACATAAGGGCGTATAAACAGATGCGTCAGTCTGCCAGTGTGAACTGAAGGCAGAGAACGAACATTACAATTGAACACAGAAGGCCAAGAAAAGCCTGATGTTGGGCCTCAGACTTTATTTACATGAAACCAGCAAGTTTCAGACACTAGCTGGTTCCCTTGCAGTTAGCTGAAAAAGAGTATTTCGGTTTCAGGAGAAAGAGAGGCAGTCTTGCATCCCTTGTTCCACATTCAAATTTTATTTTTAAATACTTAGCTTATTAGTCCTGATTTTCAACCGTGCCTTCCTGGTTTTGCTGCATGAAGGTCGTGCTTTCATGAACTCAGTGCCAACCAGGCTGGTTACATTTAGGGCAACTCGATTTTGCAAAGTAGATCTTAAATAGGTAAAGGGCCTACTGTAAGTTTCAGGAGTAAGCACTGGATTTGTCTTTTTATGTCATCGTCAAGGTGGCAGGAGGTGCAGTAAAGTCACGTATTGAGCACATCATCCTGCCAGCCACATAATTTAGTTTCTAGGCCAAGGGTTCCTAGGTATGTGCAAGAGTACTGTCGAAATTCAAATAGCTAAAATTTAAAGAGTCTTCTAACACAGTGCTCTGATTAGCTTCATTCAGCCAGCCTTTCTGCTTTAATGAGGAAGTCACTCTATCTCCATTATGCTGCTATTATGTGGAGCTGATTGTAAAGAATCCTAACGCTCAGTGACAAACCCATTTCTCTGGATTCCCTTTGTGAACTAGCATAGCCAAATAATTACCAATACTGCTCAAGAATACTACAGACTCCAGCACTGAATTAGCAAGTCAGCCCAACTGTCAATAATGGAGCCAACTTAACCCTCAAGAAAATGGGGAATTTCTTGCTTTCATCATCAGCTAATTCTCACCGCTAATTCTCTTCAATTTTTAAATCTTCATATGCAACAGGTCAAAAGTATACATCTTGAAATTCACATATCTTCTCCCAAAAATGATGTTGTTAACACCCACAGATAAGAAAATTCCTTGAGTAAAGGCTAAGATAAAACAAACGGCCAGAAAAAATTAATTATAAGCTGTACAAAACAAATCCAAAATGTTTTTATATGTTTTTTTTAAATCTGAACTAGGATAGCAGATAGCTCCTACCTACAGGAAATGGACAGATCTGCCCCATCTGCTGATCCAAACTGGAGTTTGCAGTTAACTATATATAATCCTGTTCTGTTCTCACTAGTATGGACCTTTACATTAGGAGGTCGGAAATAGAAGGAAAAAGAGAAAATGTTCAAACATGCTGTAAATTATATGTCCTACAGAATTTTCTGAAGGCAGTTTGAATGTAAATCATCATAGAATCCCTACAGTGTGGAAACAGGCCCTTCAGCCCAACAAATCCACACCGACTCTCGGAGCATCCCAGATCCTTCCCCCATAACCCACCTAACCTACACATCCCTCAACACTACGGGCAATTTAGCATGGCCAATCCACCTAGCCTGCACATCTTTGGACTGTGGGAGGAAACCGGAGCACCCAGAGAAACCCATGCAGACACAGGGAGAATGTACAAACTCCACACAGAGAGTTGCCCGAGGGTGGAATCAAACCCGGGTCCCTGGTGCTGTGAGGCAGCGGTGCTAACCACTAAGCCACCGTGCCACCCACTTTTTTTTGGCCCCTCCTCCCCTGAAGCCCCCTGATTTTAGTCCCCCCACCCTCAACAATCCTGAAACTTGTTTTGCAACAATCCTGCAAATAGTGGGACAATGCTGCCAAAAAATGCAGTCATATTCAAACATTGATAAAATAATCTGTCTTCAGAAATTGATGTCTTTAAGTAAGGCTCTGTGCTTGATCTGAAAATAAAACAGGCACATAGGAATATTCGGACTGCCTTTTGGTGTGTTTTTATAGTTGAAGGTACATTTTACCAATTCTAATGATTTGGAGAATTGCTTGAGAACATTGAGCTATTCACGATATCATGGTCATGACAGCACTGCAAAGCTGCTTTTCCTGATGTGACCTTGCCTTACTTTTGTCTGACCTTGCCTTTCTGTAATTTGTTTGTAAAGGATGGTAAGCAAGAAAAATGTAATCAGCCTGATGGATTTTCAATGAATAATTTAGTTATTTCTGGAAATTAGCTTCCTTGATAACCTTTCAAGAGCAAAATGTCCTCTGTTCATTGCAGAACATGCCATAAGACATATATATATATAACTTCTTTAAAGTGATCTTTAACATATTAATATTGACTCTAAATAAATGTGCATGATGTAATAGCTTTTTATAAAGCTAAGTAATTGAAGCGTAGCAATTATTCTATAGACTTTAAAAGGTTAACATCTGAGAACTGATGTTGGTTTTTAGAGGCCTTATGTTTGTGTTCAATATAATTGACTCTTAATATCTTTCGAAATTTCCCTTTTAAAATGTCAATTAGTCCCATTTAAACCACTGGTAAAATATGCAGCAACAGCATTTAGCTTGTAGGTTATAATTTTTCGTATATTTATTTAATAGAACTTTATTGTTATCCCTTTGAGTCCCAAGTCCGAAGCCCTACCATTTGGGAAATACTGCCCTATAAGTTTTCTTGGAGGAAAATTATTTTCATTAAGCACATTTTCATTTAACATACCATTTTTCAGGAACACATCAGAAGCCCAAACATAGAAATAGCTGTAAATTGAAAAACATGCCTTAGATGTTAGAAAAATAACTTCAGTTGCCAATGTTTATACTTTTGTTCAAAGACAATCATAGGATGTGGTGGGATGAATACATAGGGATTATTTGAGGCAGTAAACTGAAACCTTTTATATTCGTTTGAATAGAAAACTGTCATGATGCTTGTCATAGTCTGCTGTAACTTATTGATTTGCGAATGGTGGTAGCATGCATCTAACAACATTACTTTACCATCTTTAAACTTTTCCAGTACACGGCACACAAATGACTTTTGAAGTACTATTTCATAAGCAAATCTGCTACAAAAACAAAAACTGCTGGAGCAACCCAGCAGATCTGGCAGCATCAGTGGAGAGAAAGCAGAGTCAACATTTAGAGTCCAGTGACTCTTCTTCAGGACTAACAGTAACGAAGAAAAAGCGGTATTTATGTTGCAGATGAGGTGGTGGGGGTGTGGGGGAGGAGGGTGGGGGTGCTGGTGGAGAGGAGTGAGCATACGGCTGGAGATAGATTCCTGAGAGAGAGGAAACTACAATTAGGTGGACAAAGGGATGGTTGATAGTAAGCCAGGGAGAAAGAAAAGCTGAAAATGGGGCCCGTAAATAGGTGGAAACAGGTTAGCTGTGCTGAAAGCAGCCCATTGTCATGACAGGGCCTGGGGTATGTGAGTGGGTAAAGGACATAGGAGGAGGTGTTCCAGTTCTAAAACTATTGAACTCAATATTGAGATCTGAAGGCTGCTGGGTCCCCAATTGGAAGAAGAGGTGCTGTTCTTTCAGCTTGTGCTGAGCAAGCCCGAGACAGAAACGTTGGCCAGGGAATGTGGTGAAGTGGCAAGCAACTGGAAATTTGGGGTCGTTTTTACGGACAGAATGTAGATGATGCACAAGGCGGTCGCCCAGTCTTTGTTTCATCTCCCCATCATAGAGGAGACCACATTGTGAGCAGTGAATACAGTAAACTAAACTGAGTGAAATGCACTAAATCTGTGCTTCACTTGGTGCTTTAGGTAGTGAGGAGGGAGGAGATAAACAGGCAGGTATTACACCTTCTGCAATTGCAGGATGCCATGGAGGTGAAGGGAGATGTGGGATTGGAGAAGGAGTGGACCAGGCTGTCCCAAAGGGTGCAGTCCCTGTGGAATTCTGACAAGGGAGGGGACAGGACTTCTGAAGAAGGTTCACTGGACTTGAAACATTGACTGTGCCTTCTTCCCACAGATGCTGCCAGATCTGCTAAGTTTCTCCAGCTATTTCTGTTTTTGTTGGACGGGAGTATGTGTCTGGTGGTGGCATCCAGCTGGAGGTGGTGGAATTGCTGGCTTATGATCCTAATCCTACCAAATCCGCCAACCACTTTGACATTGTAGCTTTAGTCCTGCTGATCCGTTAATGAACTGACCTCATTGATGTACAATCAACACTTGTGGCTGAAAAATGTTCGGCTTTAGTCTTGTTACTGTATGCACTCATGCAGAAATTTGCCACATGAAGTGGCAGAATGCTGTGCTGTAAAACTCTTTGGGATTGGGGTGTCACCACAAGAATATTTATAAACTTCATTTTTGATAATGTAAATAAAAAAACATATTTTACAAGTGTTACATGCAAGACCCTATTTTGAGTTTCTTCTTCAACTTATGATTGCCTGAAGGGAAAAGGAATCGAAGATCCGTGCACTGTCAGTTCAATTGTATCTTTGTACAGCTTCTTATCATTGATCCTTTATTTTTTACAGAATTGTAGCAACATTGATTGTACAAAAATAGTTTGCCATGTTAATCAACTGGGAAGAGGGGAGAGTGCAGTGCTGAATGTTTGGTCTCGAATCTGGGTTCAAACCTTCTTGAAGGTAATGTACAAAGTAGTTAATTAGGAGCTTTATAGGCAGTAGTCTAAAACTAAAAACTTGTTTTTCAATGAACTTCTTACATATCATTCAGAAACTGATCTGGGTTAAATTGTTTAGCCTTTACACCATCTTATACTTTGGCTTATATTAGAACCAACAATGTATTTAAGAAGTTTTTTTTAAAACTTACATGATGAAATTTTTAATTGTAGATTATGTAATACATTGTTTGGGGGAAATATTAACTGAATAATTTAAATTGTAGCAATGGCTTATTTTATCGCTGAGCGTTTTGAAATGTGAATGTGCATTAATTTAATATGCATCCACAGTTTGCTTCATGCTGCACAAACTATTTCCCAGATTTTTGCCATGTCTGTTAATCTGTCAACAGTCAGGAGAAGCCTTATTCTGTACTATGGTCTACATTTGTTTATAAAGATAGTTCCCTTGGTGCTATTGAATCTTCTGACTTATTCATCTTGCCACTTAGCAATCATAAAAACAAGTATTGCTTAATAACACAAAGAAAGTTGTTCTTGCAAATGCTAACTCATGAGAATCCCTTTCTTTAATTCATTCATGAGATATGGGCAGCATTTGCTGTGCCAACATTTATTGCCCATCTCGATTTGCCCTTGAGAAGGTGGTGGTGAGCTGCCTTCTTGAACTGCTGCAATCCATAGTGGGTAGGTACACCCATAATGCTGTAGGGTTGGGTGTCCCAAAATTTTCACTGATGCTGGGTCCAGTAATGGCAGTATAATTCCAGGTCAGGATGCGGTTTGGATAACTTTCTGCTTAAATTCTTCATCAATTCAGATGATCAAGCATGTGGGCTTTATTATGTAACTGTTTTTGGATGAAGCAAACAGCTTTCATCTAGCTGATGTGTTGCAAGGTTGCATACAAATCACCGATGGTTTATATTTCCATGATATAAACAAATTATTTGTTGAACATTATACAAGCTAATGTTAAGGATAATACCCTTTTTGTGAAAAATTCTGCAGTACGTTAGAGTACAAAATGATAACAAAGTCATTCAAACTATTCATTGATAACAAGGTTCTGAAGAAGGGTCTAGGCCCGAAACGTCGGCCTTCCTGCTCCTCTGATGCTGCTTGGCCTGCTGTGTTCATCCAGCTCTACACCTTGTTATCTCAGATTCTCCAGCATCTGTAGTTCCTACTATCTCAAACTATTCATTGAAAAGGTTTAAATTTTGTGATTAAAATTTAGGAGATTTTTTTCAGTTACTGCAAAATCTGTGCTCAATTTTATAGTGGCAATGTTCCTTTCCTTTTCACTTAGACTTCATTTCAAAAATTTGTAATCACAGTTCTTACATGTGCAGCTACAAGAACAGAGGTGGCACTGGAACAATTTTCCATCCAGTTTTCTACCTGTGAAGCACCTAAACTTTATCAGCAGACTGTACAGAGCAATTACAGCTAAAAATCCATGGTCACCTCTTCAGTACCATAATCATCTCAAAATGTTGATATCTGTCAGAAATATTTATTCTAGAATTGGCAGTTTTGGTTAAAAATATTCCTGAATGTCCAATCACCTGATTTGACATCTGAGAATGCAATATTTAATCATATAATTTTCAAATATTACTGCCATTAGAATAAATAGATCATTCGTAGTTGGGTGTCTTTAACCTATTTTTCTAATCAACCTGTTCAGAGATGCTATTACACACTTCTGGATGAGGTCAGACTTGAACCTGGGCCTCCCAGTCCGATGATAGGGATATTACCACTGCACCGCAAAAGGGCCCATAAAAATTCATACATGCAAGTAAAGAGTTTGCTTGAGCTCTCTTCATCAGCAAAACTAAACTTCTGGTACCAACATATCAGGCACTTTTTTTACACTTAGCTAAACATGTAACCTGGAGCCATACCCCACATTTAAGGTCCACTGTTAACGCCATCTTTCCAAAGTCTCAGATTTTTTGACTCCTGACCCTAATCCATTGATCCATTAACTTGAAGACTGTTGTAACACTATAAACAGCCTGACATCAGAAAATATTTAGTTAGCTCCAATGTCACATTGGTATATATTGTTGTTGCTGTATAATGTACTGAAGCCCAAGCAGCCAGTATCTGGAGAACTTTCAACATTCTCTTTATCCAAACTTCTGACCAGTATATTCAAGGGGAGGAAGGAAAGAATACAAAACCAAAAAATGGGAGTTTGAGCCTTGGTGTGAATGAAAGTTATCTTACTGCACATCTGTGTCACTTTCAGGCGGGATTTTTGGGCAACTTTTCTACATGTAGTTTGTACTGGACCTACTCAATCAGTGCTTCTGCATGAGGGGTCACATTTCAATGCTTTTCTTACATAGGTCTGGTAAGCAAGTTTCGGGGTGGGAGAGTGAGGTGAAGTCAATACATTAATGAAAAATTATCTTTCTATTTATCAAAGCAACAAAAAAATGCGTCTCTATGCAAGTAAAGGACAGCATGGTAGCTCAGTGGTTAGCACTGCTGCCTCACAGTGCCAGGGACCCGGGTTCGATTCCACCCTCTGGCAACTATCAGTTTGGAATTTGTACATTCTCCCCGTGTCTGCGTGGGTTTCCTCCGAGTGCTCTGGTTTCCTCCCACATCCCTAAAGATGTGCAGGCCAGGTGGATTGGCTATACTAAATTACCCATAGTGTCCAGGCATATGCAGATTAGGTGGATTAGCCATGGGAAATGCAGGGTTACAGGGATAGGGTAGGGAGTTGGGCCGGGGCGGGATATTGGGAGGCTTGGTGTGGACTTGATGGGCCAAATGGCCTGCTTGCACGCTGTAGGGATTCTATGATTCTAAAGTAAGCTCCGTTTGGAAAGGATGTCAAAGGTGGTATGGTAAAGTTTCCAGTATATCTGCTGCCTCTACCCCAATCCCTCCACAGACAGGTCAACACTCTCCGAATGTCTCTCCCTTACAACCACTTCCCTACAGGAGCCTTTCCCACCTTGAAGTATGTCTCCCTTACCCCAGCAGGCTCACCTCTCCCGATTCCCTAAAGAAATGTGGGATTATAGGACCAGAAGTAAGTTTGCCATCTCTTGTGCCTACTGCTCCTTTCAACAGCATCATGGATGATCTGATTGCTATCACAACTCTATCTCCTTGTCTGCCTCTGTAGCCCTTAACTCCCTTATAGATTCAAAATCTGACTCAGTCTTCATTAAGTTCAGTGACCCGGTCTTCACTACTTTGTGGGAAGAGAATTCAACAAAGAGCCCTTCACCACTATGGACTGACATGTCAGTGGAAGATGATGGCATAATCATAATATCATTGAACCACTCGTCCAGTGGCCAAGGCTAATGTCCTTAGGAAATGGGTTTAAATCCTGAATTTGCCCTGCTACCAGTTCAAAGTCAGCAAGGCGCGGCCTGTTCGTGTTTTCACAGTTATCCTCCTCCCCCAAAAAGAATTGAACTTCCCAGAAATATCATCAACTGGTCTTCTCACTGCCCGGTGGTTAAAATATACCAGAAGAGATGTGACAAAATAGATTTCAGGGCAATCTTCATTCTACACCATCTTCCCTCCCAGCCTTGCTGCGATTAAATTCGCACTGCTTGCGACTAGCTCTTTTGTGCACTTGCTGCTGCTCCTGAGATATCCATCTGTCTCACTGTAAAATAAGTTCAGCAATGGAGCATCCAAAATCCGCAAAGGGATAGAATTCCAATGATTCACAACATTTTGAAAGAAAAAAAATGTTTCCTCCTCTATCCTAAATGACCATCTCCTTATCCTGAGGATGTGCCCCCGGGTTCTAGTTTCTACAATCAGGGTAAGCAGCCACGCAATGTTCTACCATTCCAAGCCCCTTCAGAATCTTCTGTGTTTCAATGAGATCATCACTTATCCCTCTAAGCCTGAGAAAATCTCTCCAGTTTACCCAGCTTTTCATTATGGAAAATCCTCTTAATCCTGCTGTCAATCTGATGAATCTCACTTAACTGCCTCCAATGCAAGCACATCCTTGTTTCACTGTAGAGATCAAAACTACAAAATTACATCCAGGTGGGGTCTCACCTGTACAATTGAAGCGAGAACTCCTTCTTTCTGTTCTCTAATTCCCTTGCAATAAGTGACAATATGCCATTGCTTTTCTAATTGCTTGCTGGACCTTTCTGTGTTCCTTATACAAGTCTTTTGAACATCAACATATACAAGTTTCACGCCTTTTTTTAATAAAACTTTGGCATTTCTATTGCTACCAAGGTGAATAACTTTGCGATTCCTCCCAATATTATTCTTGGTCTCTGTCTCAGTAATAAACGTAGATTGTAAATAGTTGAAGCCCAGCACTAAGGCTTGTGCAGATCACTTGTTACAGCCTGCCAACTTGAAAATGCTCCACTTACCTCTACTCTCTGCTTTCAATCCTTTAATCAATCTTCTGTCCATTCTAAAGTAAGCCACCCCTTTTTTGATGTGGCACCATATCAAATGCCATTGGAAATCCAAGTATATTTTATGTACTGATTCTCCTTTATCTCAAAAGAATCATTAAGAAATCTCGAATAAAGTTGTCAAAAGCAGTTAAGTATTTTGCACTTCAATTGTTTTGGGGCTCATCAGATATAAAATTTCCACATGCTTCCCTGAATTAAGGGAGTAGTTGGACCAGAAGCGGTGAAAAGACTTCTCATTTAAAAAAGACTGATCATCATGTGTCCTGAGACTGTTTTGAGAGAGCTTCAAAATTTGTTTGCACAGCACCATGGAGGAATTTCTTATGCTTTGTTCTGCAGTTCTGTTATTTTCTAGATCTCCATTTGCAACCCTGATCATCCTTTGAACATATGAACACTATCCCTTCTTTCAAGTATTTGAGACATTTAAGTTCTTTATTTCACTTTTTATTTATTAATTCATTTAGAGTTATGCCTGCTTGGTCTGACCTTGCTCAATTTATGGTTGATAAACAAAATACCTTTAAACGCAGCAGGCCTGGCATCATCTGTG